ATGCATTTATTAGTGATACTTGCACTTACCCATTTCATTACACTTTATTGATTCACCTTAGCACTTTTACTATTCTAAAACAGCTTTCAATCCCTTGTAAACGTTGCACTTACCTCAATATTGGTTGGTTATCGTATGCCGACAACCACGGGATGAAAACGAAACGAAGTCGATTTTCCCGCTCAACCTGGACGACAATTGTACAATTCAATAACTATACAGCCTAGTTCAGACAATGAGTGTATTTATATATATATCAAATATTTAACTGTTGAAACATTATTAACTTGTAGACAATCTACGATTTGATATTATATCATACTTGATCGTGCCTGTAAAAATGGCATGCATTTTCATGTAAATTTATATGTTTATATGAGAATATACATTATTATTATTAGACAGCTGTACATCATTGCATTTCTTCATCCATTCACAGATCTGATACGTTTTTTAGCTGAATCCAGAAACTTTCAATGGAATTGGTGTGAGTTCTATCAAAAGGATTGAGAAAAGAATTTGTATGGTCACCCACCTGATGAACACAGACCAGATTCGATAACTGACTGTAACTACTCCATTCATTTGTACTAATAGCCAATAATACGCCTACACTGCCAATAGGGATCGTCTCAATATATCCTGTCTGGACACTGGTGCCATATATCCACAGTAACTATTGCCGATTCGCATTCAGTCTCCATAGATTATATCTTATTTTCTCATAAGTAACTAAGGAATCTGTAAATAAAAAACGAAAGACATATGTCAAAGTACCGTACCTCACTGCACCATTATCGTCACACATTTCGTAGTCAGAACCTGATGACGCTGATTTCGCATTTAGCTCGCCACTAAACTTGCTCACTGATTCACAGCTCACCTTTGTATACACCTCTTGCAAACGTGTAAAACACAACCGTGTTTGTCTTGCATCTTGTAACTTATCTGTTGAGGATGTACTACGAAACCTGTTACACTCACTAGGTCTATATGCATTACTAGACATCATGGAGCCTTCTCGATATCCACCTCTCGGAGGCCTATTCGTCATCGATGATTGCGTTTTTCCCTCAGACTGCTCTATTCTAGGGGTGAGATTCGATATACTGGCAAACTCGCTCATAGATTGATTGACACTATTGTTTACCAGTTTCAGAATGTCATCGAACTTTGGCTCGATACCCTCATCCTCCATACGGGAGCTTATCTTCACCCACTTCATTTGCAGTCGTGTAGGTAGGCATCTTGCTATTATTATTATTATTGCTCCCTTGGGTTCCTAGTGGAACATAGGGCTTCAACTGCACGTCTCCATTTTCTTCTGTCTTCTGCTATACTTTTCGCCTGCATCCATGTTAATCCATATTCTTTCAACTCCTCTTCACACGATCTCCTCCATGTCACCTTTGCACTGACGTCCCACTCGCCGCTTCCCTTTCGGGTTCCACTCGAGGGCTTGGCGCGCAATGTCACCCGGCGGTCTACTCAGCGAGTATCCGATCCATCTCCACTTTCTCCTGCATATTTGTTGGGCGATTGGTTCTTGCTTTGTTTGTTCCCATAATTCCTTGTTGGTGATTCTTTCCGGCCCGGCCATCTGATCTTCAGTATTGAGCGAAGACAGTTGTTGATAAAGGTCTGCAACAGGCTGTTGGAAATATTCTTTGTGACCCGCCCGCCAAGTTTCTGATCCGATCCGTATAGAAGAACTGACTGACTTGACGTCGTTTGTATTGAAAATCCGAATTTTGTTGGTGATTCTGGCTGAGTGACGAAGATTTCCAGATTGATTTCAGGCTGATGAATGTGTTTCTCGCCTTCCCGATTCTCGATTTGACATCCTCGTCCGCTCCTCCTGTAGTTGAGACAATGCTCCCTAGATAAGTGAATGAATGAATAACCTCTTTCAAATCCCTCCCGTTGATGGTGATTCACGTTGGATGTTGTTGCTTTTGTTGGTTGGTTATTTTCATAACCTCCGTCTTTTGTATGTTTACCTGGAGTCCTGTCTTTGCTACCTGCTTCTTCGACCAGTTTGTCGGTTTTCGCTTGTAAGTCTTCGATTGTGTGTGACATCAAACATAAGTCATCCACGCGCGAAATCCAGGTCTTCTAGGCTCTTCAAGTCGGTACCAGCATAGGATATTGCTGTCTTCTCGTTTCCCACAGTCTGACGCATAATCCAGTCCACCACAATTAGGAATATCATTGGTGATAGTAAGCACCCTTGTCTGTCTCCTGTGTTTACTTCAAACGCCTCGCTGAGTTTTCCGTTGTGGATCACTTGGCAGGTGCCGTTGTAGTACAGCTGTTGAATAAGGTCGATGAATATTTGGGGTACGCCATAGTACTCGAGTAATTTCCAAATTACTTCACGATCAACGCTGTCGAAGGCCTTCTCAAAGTCTATAAAGTTGAGGTAGAGGTTTGATTGCCATTCCATGCTTCGTTCGATGCTGATGCGTAGAGTTGCAATTTATTCAGTACATGATTTGCCTTTCCTGAATTCAGCTTGTTCTGGTCGTCTTGCTACTGCTTCTAGTGCAAAAGTCGAGTTGAGGTCACTCATGCAATTCATCGAAATCAATGCATTCTCGTAAATCAGCAAATTATCCAAAAACTCAGTGAGTGCCTGGGAATCATCCTGTAATTGATCACCATTACCCTTAACAGCCTCGAATAATTTCCCTACAATCATCGAAGGTCTTCCAAACCTTTGACGTAGTATGCTCATAGCCTCGTAGTAGCCCTCTTTTGGCTTCATAAACTTACAGCACTGTATAGCTCTTGCAGCAACTCCACTGCAGTACCTCAACGAATACATTAACTTCATTTTATCATTTATTGCGAACCCACTTAACATGACTTCAAACTCCTTTACAAACTATGGATAGTCAGCTGGGTTTCCGTCGAAACAATGAGGCTCAAATTTAGAAATTTTAAAGTTTCTATTATCACTAGACGGCGAAACATGTACATCAATCTTATCATGCTCAACAACACACACACCTGACTCCATATAACAGGCAACTCAGCATTACTTACTTTCCTGTCTGCTTCAAAAGCGCCTTGTCCTTTCTTTGACCGAGGCATTATTGAACTTGACCAAACAATCCAGAAAAGTTCCAGGTAAAACTTGTCCAAAGAAGATGGGCAGACACGAGGAAAGACGAACAGAAACTATCAGAAACTGCCAATGTCCAGGACTTACCACAATGGACCTCACGCTGTCCTTGGAAGACTTTCAGAAACTATGCGTAATATCTAACACGAAAAACCGGAACGGGAATTGGTGACTCAAGAACCGTTTATTCTTGCACCAATACAGAGCCAATCATTAATGATAATAATAATAATATACATTCTAATTTTTACATGAGGGACGCCAGTTTACAGGTATCATCAATTCGATAATTTACACATAATATTAATAAGCATATTTAGTAAAGATAATATAATAAAGTACATTTTTTCCCTAGCTATGTAGGGTACACCAATTGTATAGGCATGCATAAATATTGTTTTAATAATAATAATATATTCCTTCCTGTTTATGCAGGAACATACCTATTGTACAGGCATGGATAAGTTATTATATAAATTACGCATAATTTGATGTATAATGGACTTACAGTTTGGTTGTTCTTTCTGACATTAGAGTCAGTCGGAACAGTCTGCTATAAAGTCTGTTTGTGTAGCACATAAAGAGATATAGAAATATTGTCTTCGCATTAACAAAAAACCCAGACATCAGATGAATGTAATACAGATATCTGGGAAAAATAAAGCTTGAAGTCAATTCTCCTACATAACTTTGTTGTGAACAGCACCCTTGGCTTAAAGATTATTGATGTATTATGTTGAGATCAGTGATATATTTATTCCATTTTTCAGCAGTCTTATCGTAGTTTCATAACAGGAAAGAAATTTGATCGTGGAGGCGAAAATTAGATAAGGTCATGTTAAGTTGTTTTACTGCATCAAATGGTGCCGAAGTCGATTCCAGAAAAAAGAGGCTACAGTCAGTTTCAAGGTCATGATGGGTTCCTGCGTCGGCTGGTTATATGTTTTCGTGAATTCTCCTTCCATTGAATTTTAAAGGTTTTTTGCATGTTTTTCCCATTTTGCAGTGTGTAGATCAGTTTATGACACTGGATACTACTATTAAGGTGATTCTTAGCTTGTAGATCCCAGTTTTTATGTTGGTAGTCAAGGGTTATGGTGAACCTGCAATGACTCAGCCAAATAAGGTATATTTTTCTAATATAGTAACCTTATTCAATAAAGTAAACTGCCTAACCCTTCTGCCATTGTTTGAGATTAAAACTAAGATCTGGTTTCTTATCATGATTGAAAGTAAATCGAACCGACTGAGTTTGCTTATCCTCTCTGTTCCATCCCTCACAGGACACATTAATCTTGGACTAGCGTAAATAAACACTAGTATATATTTCAGTGCTTATATACTACTGGCCATGACCTTGTCAATTTACTTAATTTATGCTGACGCAGTACGCACAATTCCCACAAATCATTGAAGTGACAACTTAAAAAAGTAGATTAGTTACTACATCCATATTTCTACATGTAATAATTCAGGACACATTAAATTTATAGAAATGGTAGTTGAATTATATTCGCCTAGTAACCAAAATTGCATACATCCTATTTTGGACTTAAAATAAATGCATCAAAATTACTGTTGATTTATATTCACTTTCTGGACATTCTCATACATCTCAATATACTTTAAACATCAACAATGCATCCAAATAGCGTGTGACTGTCACACTACACTCACACCAAAAAAATTAACACGCCATTATAATATATATGGTAAGGTAAGCCCGAAATTTTACTGACTGTAAATTTCCGTGTCAGAATAAAGAGATTGGCGCTTTAATTTATATTTTAGACCAATAGAAAGCCAGCTAGCCAACAGCCAATAAAAAACTGCCTATATCTATTTTCATTCCAGAATTCCCCATTTGCGCCATTTGTGTCTGCATGGCGGACTGTACTCGTAAGTTGAGTAAAATGTTGAAAACCAGTTGCTTCTTTATTTCAGATCATGAATACTCATTTACATCGTGTCCGCCAGCTTCTTTAAATGGTAGAATTGGATCGTTCCTGGAATTTGAGTGATTATGGGATAAATGGTTTGGAATTAATCATAGCAGTTAGAATACAGTTAAACATGCAGAGAAGTACTTTTGATTCAGCAACCGGTGAATTTTTTATTCTTTTCGATCTAGTACCAGAATAACTGCGAACCATTCCATTCAATATGTCGAATAAGGCACGCAGGAGGAGATCATTACCATGGAATGAGTCAACTTGATCTGAGATGCAGCTTTCAGCATGTTTTCGTTATATCATAGATATCCAGGTTTATTGGCGCTGTAGAGGCAGTGATTTGGATTATGACGTATTCTACAAAGTCTCCGTGCCCATTTGAAGTATACATGTGCTTTGAAAGGATTACTTTGTTGGCTCCTACCCCCACTGAGTGTTAACAACAGCTGCTGTGGGTTTATGTATTTCCTCGCCTTTTTGGATAAAACATCGCCGCATTCTTTTTGGGTAGGAGACCAGTTGGTGGATTATAAATGATATCCAAGTAACTTTTATCTTTTCATGTGGTGTTGCGGTAAGTTTCTACCTTGTTTTCTCATATTTCATTCGTATGTTGATTATGGTTCGCCCTTTGTATCAGGTAGACATAGTTTGATCGACTCTTGGTTGAATGGGTGTTATTGTCATGACTGCTGCTTTTTTGTCTGGAATTATAAATAGAGACAAAACAAACAACAGGTGTAGTCTCTGAGTTCATACATTAAATGGGCCTATGATTTCTGAAACTCTTACATGGGAATTACCATTGGTATCAATTACAAACTCACTTAGTGTGTCATTAAGTGCCTTTTCAAAGGAGGCCAATGTGCTTGCTAGTCGTATTTTCTCAGGTAGTTTGTTCCATATTTGGGCATACCTAATCAAGAAAAACTTTTGCCTGGTGGCTGTTTTACATGGTTCTATAGCCACTGTACCTTTAGTGTGCCTAAGGTTGTATCCTGTGTTACCTGAGGACCGAGTATAGTTAGCAGGGGTATACACTATTTGGTTAAGAAGCTTATAGAAGAGTAACAGATTTAGTCGCAGTCGCCTTAACCATAATGTTTCTAGTCCCAGGATTTCACATCTGGTAGAGTAGTTTGTGCCGTTATCGGTTCCGAGTACTTTTCGCGTGAAGTACCTCTGTACTCCTTCTACTTTCAGTTTGTCTTCTATGCGTGTACTGCTGAATATGAATGAGCAGTAATCTAGGAGTGGGCGCACACATACCTTGTACAGTAGTATTCTGGACTCGTTTCTGTAGAAGTTCCTGAGTAGGAAACCAATAAGCCTTCGTGATTTCGACACTTGATTCGAGATATGCTCTGAAAATGATAGATTGTGTGAATATTTCAGTCCTAGGTCTAGTACAGATTTGAGTCTGGGGATTTTGTGGCCCTGAATTGCTAGGTTGAGGTCAAGGTTGGAACAGCCTATGCAGAGCCATCCACACTTTTCAACATTAAACTCAAGTCTCCACGTGTCACACCATCTATCCATTTTTGCTAATTCTTCATGTATGGAGTTCATAGTTGGGCCGATATCTGTATTTGTGCAGGTATATGTCACCTTCAAGTCATCTGCATACAGTATTGGCTTGCCTATACTAAAACATTCACATATACTGTTTATGTATATAATGAAAAGAAGGGGTCCCAATACACTCCCCTGGATGACACCACTGCTGATTGGTCTAGGTCTGGAGGTCATTGAGCCAACTTTAGTTGTCTGATTCCTGTCATACAGAAATGATTTTATCCAATTGTAGAGGGGGTTGCGTATCCCTAGTGAGCATAGCCTACCGACTAACAGACTATGTGGGACTCTGTCGAAGGCTTTCCTTATATCGAAATAGAGGATAATCACTAGCTCTCTCCTATCTCTTCTATAGGTGACTTCGTTGAAAAAGTCTATATGGCAAGTGACGCAAGATCTTTTCTTGAGGAATCCGTGTTGTGACAGGTTGATGAGTTTATGTTTTAGAAAGTAGTCTGACATTTGGTCTTTGATTACTTTCTCCATGATCCTTGATATGACTGGTGTTATATTGATAGGCCTATAATTACATGCACTAGTTTTGGCCCCTCCTTTATGCTTAGGTAATATATATGTGTTTTTCCAAGTTTCAGGGTAGGTTTCGGTCACTAGTGAGATATTAAATATTCTAAGTAATAATACAATCATATCCGTACCACCGTTTTTGTATATGACGGATGGTATATCGTCTATCCCACAACTACTGTTAGCTTTTAATGTCCTTACCGCCGATGCTATATTTTGTATATTAAAGTTTATTTCACCTAACTTGTAGTTATTTTTGCAGGTTATGTCGAGAATTGGGGACGGATGTGCTTTGGTGTTATTGGAGAACCACTCACTCAGGAGTTCACTAATGATCTGGGGATCATCATAAATTATATCTTCGTGTTCTAAATGACTGATATTGTTTTCTTCACCCTTCTTCATCCGTTTTTGCAAGATTTTGCAGAGTTCCTGGGTTTTAGAGGTGCCCTCTAGGGCTTTATTTTCCTCGACTTGTGCTTTCATTTTATGTCTCTCATCTAAATTTTTAAATATTTCGTGTATCAGGTGTAATGCATTAAATTCTTTGTATAAATAAAATCTCCTTTTTAGTTTCCTTAGTTTTATTCGCGTTTTGCGATCTATGAACAGAGTTGGTGTCTTTAGGGCAGATTTCAGGGGTGCGATTGTGTCTCTTACCGAACTGATTGTCTTGTAGAAGGTATTTAGTATTACTTCTAAGTTATTATTGGTGAAGTATTCACCCCAGTCTGAGCTTCTCAAGAGCATTGGTAGGAATTCCCAGTCGGCATTTCGATAGTCCCTATATTGATAGTAAACCGGGGAACTCTTAGGTGTGTGTTTAGTTGTTAGTTGTAAGGGTAGGGTGCAGTACAGTATGTTGTGGTCACTGTTGTCGAGTTTATCCCTCACCTCTATCGAGATCGGCTCTATTTTGTGACAGAGGATTAAGTCGAGTATATTGTTGTGTCGTGTTGGGAGGCGTACGCACTGCTTCCATCCTCCTACATCTATGGCTTCTAGGATCACCTCGTAGGTTCTCGGTCCAGTGCAGGTATCCCAGTTCACTCCAGGGAGGTTGAAATCGCCACAAACTAGTTTGTAGTCGAATTCCAGCTTAGGTACAACCTCTAGTATTTCTCCGATAACCGTATCAGTCGTTATAGGGCTGTTAGGGGCTCTGTATATACATCCCACAAGAATGTTATTTTCATTCGTGTGGATGCTTATCCACTTGGATTCTGGGAGTTTGTCGATAGTTAGGTTTGTAAAGGTATTGGAGTTAGTGGATTTAGAGGCATATATTAGACAGCCGCCTCCTCTCTTGTCTACTCTGTCATTCCTGTGGATGTTATAGTTATCAATTATCAGCTTTGTGTCAGGTATATCAATAGTAAGCCAAGTTTCAGTTACCAGAATCAGTGTTGGCCGCTCCATGTATACCAAGCTGCGAAGGGAAGTTATTTTGTTAAGGAGAGATCGAGCATTTAAAAGCATAATTTTCAGAAAACCAGGGTTGTTGGGATAGTTAGTAGGTTTTCTTGTTACTATCCCTAACTCCTGGTTGCCTATGTTATGTTCGGAGGGATCCTCATATGAGACATTGTCAGCGTGTTTACTATTCCCTGGACAAATTGTGCTGCGAGGGGGGCTATTGCTTGCTGCAGCCGAAAATAATCCTGTTGCATATTTTGACTATTAGCATCCATGGGTCGGCATCTGCGTTGATCTACTGGTGATATATGGTCTGCCCTGCAATTTGGGTTGTAGTTTGCTGGACCTGGGTACCCTGTGTTAAGACTACCCTGGTAGTTGTACCTCATGGGGCTTTCATAGCCGTATGCATATTGGCTCACGTCACGTGCGTGAGTGAAGTTATTGAGGGGATCAAGTGTCGACCTGTTCTCATTATGTTGATGAGGTTTAACATATATAGTGCGGGAGTCTGGACGAGAATTTTCGTTAATATGGTGCCTATATGAGTCCCGTTTAGTGCCCCATGTATCCCGAGGATCCATTCTACGTTGCATTCCCAAGTTATGTGCGTTGTTAGGCATGTTACTTCTAGTCCGGGAAGGGGTATTCCTTCTCATATGCTGCGTGACGTCTTTGGGAATGTGCTTCGTTACCCATGCTTTGTCATTTTTTAGACTGACACGCTGCTTATTTGACTTATTACGAGGGAGGTATGTCGAAGTCTGGGGTGGGACTCTGGGTTTTGTGGTCTTTTTTGCGGTTTCTACTGAGGGACTCTCTGGCTTGGATCCAGATTGAGTGTGGTCTGCCAGTAGTTTCTGGTCAGCCATAGTTTGTGCGTCTATGTCAACCTCATGTAGGTCAGCAGGTTTTCGAGATGTGCTCTCGTGCACTCTAAGACTGCACCCAGTGGCACTGCTCTTACTGAGTTTTGGGTCGCTCTTACTTGCCGTTTTTTCTCCTAACACTATACACGTGACTTGCTGTGCCTCAGTGTCCGTCGACACTTTAGCACTGATACCAGATGTATTTCTCAGTGTTGTCAACTTTGTGTCGAAGGAGTTCTTGGTTGCTTGCCTTTGGTTTGGTGTTTTATCCGAGACTACTTTGATAGTCTTGAATTTAGTGGCAGTAGCCAGAAGATCTTCGGCCATCTTAAATCGTTCAGCTGTTATGTAGCTGTCGAACCTAAAGAGTATAGGACAAGGATACTTCAGGTCTTTTTTGCTTAGGCGAATGCACTGACAAGGTGCATTCAATAGATTTGCAGCCTTCAGCAATGAGTGCTGGACTGACTTTATGGGCTCACTATCCGGTACATTATATACTATTGCGTTTTGTTTTGAAGCCAGCCTTTTAACAACTTCGCTGGATAGAAAGTCGATGGCGTTTTCTAACTCCTTCGCATTTTCTGAGTCAGTATGAGTCATTCTAGAGGTCATATTAAAAAGCTTTAGGATTGTAGGATCCTGCATTTCTTTTTTCATACGTGAGATAGTTTCAGGTATACATTCTAGGGAACTTAATTTCGTTTTTAATTCATCTATCTGTAGCTGCATCTCTTTAATTACGCACGTTAAGTAAGAGAGCTCTACTTTTTCAGACAGAACATCTTCCACCTGTATTACAGGGGTCAGAGTTATGTTCGAGGCTTTTATGTTGGGTGAACTACTAATAATATGGGGTGGTAATGTGTTATTAGACGAGCCGGTGCTATTTTCTAAATTACTGGTGTTCACACGAACACGCTTTTTAGAATTTTGAACCATCGTTATTAAAGATCAATTATTAGTAACCAATAAATGAATATAAGCGAAAACACGTGCAAAAGCGTCACCTGATTTGAACGTACCGGGCGAAGTTATTATACACAAATTCTAGGAATAAATGTTATAGCATTAAATCACGATAATACTTCTGATAGTTCTCTCTCTTCCACCGAACAGCGAACGATGAGACGATGACCGCCGTGTTGATGACTCCCGAGAAAGATATGGAGGAGTTGGGTTTGAGCAAACAACCATGAATTGGTCGTTCAATCTTCAACTACATTGACAGGGTCCGTTTACGGCCGTTCCTCGTCGTGTCTCTTCTTCCTCCCTAAAACCTCGGTACACCTTTCCTTCAGCATCCCCTTCAGGGAGTTCCAATGTTCTTCCACGCAGGAACCCGCAGTAATGACCCGTGGTGTCTCCAACTTCGCTTTCATCTGATCTGATCTGCAGTGAAGACATTCCTTGTATTTTTACCCTTTAGTTTCTGAGTGTTGAACATGATTGAGTTGGGGTCTGTCTCCAGTTGTTATGAACGATTTCAGATTCACCTTGAAGTTTCTTTGAACTAGGTGGTGGTCGGAGCTCACATCTGCCCGTCTTCTCGATTCCATATCCAGCTGGCTGCGTCTCCACTTTCTTGAGTAGCGTTGAGATGAAATTTGTCTCGTTTTTAGTGTGTCCGTCTGGCGAAATCCATGTTATCTTGTGTATATCCTTGTGCTTACACACAACAACATACACAATCAGCAAATCATCGAAAGCGCAGAAGAATGAGACGAGTTCTCCATCGTCATTCCTTTCTCCTAGATCCCCCTCACCCATTAGGACTTCTCTCCTCATATTGTCCACTCCAATTTTGGTTCCATTCATATCACTCATGTCGCCATTTGGGATGTTGTCCATTCCTGCTTATAGTTGTCTGCAGAAGTCTCCCTTCTTCTCGATTATGAATAAAATTTTATTTTGAAAAAATCACACAATATTACAAATAGTGTCATTACTGCACAACCCTGGGCGATTTTACCAAAATAAAATTTTTATCCATGGTGGAGTTATACTGTACCACAGTGTCCATGTTTTTATACTTACGTGTTCGCCCTTCTCTTTTTCCGCGTTGTTTGTAGCACTGCGTGTAGGATTGGATAATCGTAACCTCCCTTCCTTCCTTTCGAGTTGACTCTTGTTGTCATCATCCTCTGAGATGTAATTGGTTCCCATTCCATTACATCTTTGGCTGTCACTGGTGATATCATGATTGTCACTTAGTGCCTCGATGTGCTCGTTGTTGTCGTCTAGATGACCGGAGTGGAGTAGATTACTGACACTCCAGGTGACAATTTCCTCTGTCCACATCAACTTCATCTTCTCTCGCAGATACCCATCACGTCCATGCCATATGTCCTCATTTCTTTGGCTGCCTGGACAGCCTTTCCTAATTTAAACATTGTACGAATATTCCACTTTCCCATTCTTATTCTTGCTCTCATTGAGAGAAGACATATCGGCTGGCCGACTGGCTTCCTGGAGACTTTCACCATCCCGTTGTGTCATTTCGCCTCTCCGGTTCCAGGGAAAAATAAATTTGTGTTTTATTTTTTGTATCTTTGAAGTTTTTCTTGTGAGTTGAATTTTCTGTAGCAGTCTGATTTTGTGGGGTGGGGTAGCTAGTCTCACTCCCAACTGTTCCTCTTTTTGCAGTCCTAGGGCCGGTTAGGAAACTAGTGAGCTAGTAAACTAGACAAGGTTAACTGATCAAATATGTATTCAGCAGTTTCTTTTCCTATAAAATTATATACTGCTGTCCCTACTATAGTTTCATATCATCGCAGATAATAATAATAATAATATATTCTCATTTTTTACATGAGGGACGCCAGTTTACAGGCATCATCAATTCGATAATTTACACATAATATTAATAAGCATATTTAGTAAAGATAATATAAGAAGGTACATTTTTTTCCCTAGCAATTTAGGGTACACCAATTGTATAGGCATGCATAAATATTGTTTTAATAATAATAATAATATATTCCTTCCTGTTTATGCAGGAACATACCTATTGTACAGGCATGGATAAGTTATTATATAAATTACGCATAATTTGATGTATAATGGACTTACAGTTTGGTTGTTCTTTCTGACATTAGAGTCAGTCGGAACAGTCTGCTATAAAGTCTGTTTGTGTAGCACATAAAGAGATATAGAAATATTGTCTTCGCATTAACAAAAAACCCAGACATCAGATGAATGTAATACAGATATCTGGGAAAAATAAAGCTTGAAGTCAATTCTCCTACATAACTTTGTTGTGAACAGCACCCTTGGCTTAAAGATTATTGATGTATTATGTTGAGACCAGTGATATATTTATTCCATTTTTCGGCAGTCTTATCGCAGTTTCATAACAGGAAAGAAATTTGAT